CTTTTTGCAGTTAAAGTTAAGATTCGTTAACTTCACCGTTGAATAGAATTGAAAAGCAATTGTTTGAAAGTTTGTTGTGGCAAATCAGTAACAATGATTGGATTACCAATATTATTTTGTATTGTTCTCTGAAAACCTTTTCAATGACACTATAACGTACTTGCTGGTCTTAAAACAGTGCGGTCCTATAGATTGCTATATCCATACTTTTCAAGTCACATTCCAATTCATGCATGAATTTATTGTTGCAATGTTTATATAATTTGTGATTGAAAACATTGGAGCATGGAAAAAAACAAGAATTCAAATTTTCTCAAAATTTAGGCATATTTATTCGAGTTGAACTTCAATATTTCCTCAGAAGTCATGGTATTACAAAGTAATAGCATGGCTTCCTCGGGATAGGGATTAAATGCCCCTCAGCCTCAGGCAGACAAGTAAAAGTAACTTATCTGCCCTCGGTTTYGGGGACATTTAATCCCAATCTCCTGAGGAAGCCTTGCTATTACTTATAAACATATTATGGCCTAAAATGCAAAAAAATTGCTGATGGGGTAATTAATGTCTAACTTTGGGTTCTTCAGTTATCAGTTCAGGCTCATAGAATGACAAAAACGAGTCCGAGGAAGGATTTTGTTTTTGTCATTCTATATGTCAAACTGTCAGATCGTAATGGATTTCAGTTCAGGCTCATTGTGCTACTCTTTTTTGTATATACTCCACTCTTTGTTGTATATAGGATATATGCACTTAACACATCTTTAAATCCMAATTTAATTTGCAGAACCGAACGACTGGCAAGGAATATATGCAGAGATCTCTCTCCAGGGTCACTTGTTGGCTTATGTGTATTGAAAGGAGGGTATCAGTTCTTTACAGACCTGATGTCATACATCAGTAATATTAGTTCCAATTCAGGTAATGTAGTAATAGTATGGCAAAAAAAATGCAAAATCTTATATGTATCAGATTTTGTATACTGAGTCTTGTAGAGTATGGGTTTTCTTTCAATTTTGTCTCGGAGTCTCAAATTCTGTTTTTTAAACAACAGTCTTTGTAAGAGTCCCAAATATTGTCCAAGGCTGATTGCATACAAATATCTCAAAATGATGTTATTTAGTAAGATAATGATCATTCTGTTACATCAGATTCTTTTGACATAAAGGTCTTGTTCTTTCCACTGCTTTGGGATGATGGCTCCATAACAAAACTTTTTTCTGAKATGTAGTACACCTTTTTCTGTTCATTTGCACAAAATATACATTGCTGTACAGTGTTGCAGTGGTACGTGGTACGCACAAATTTGTTTAAACATACATCCCAAAATGCATAAAGAGTGAAGAAATCAAAGGATAGGTACTGCATATCAACAAATTGGTGCGTAATATTAACTGGACACGTTGCTTTATCGGACCTTGCAATTANGTATCTAAACCAGAAACGCCAGTTCCTTTCTCCTTGGCGGAGTAGGCCAATTCAGTCAGGTAAAGAGCTATGTGAATAGCTTCCGCAGGGATCACGCTAACACCATATTTTAGAACACGCCCAACAACGCCATTTCAGCCAACTTGACTGGTATTTATGTACTGTTCAAGGGGCTTTGGAATTCAACTGTAAGCTTACAAGATTTGGTACAAGTTCCACTAACGAAGGATCTTTTATCAGGCGAAGTTTCCAGGCGCTGGACTCAAAAATATCTGCAAAAAACTGAAAAATGTACCAATTAGCTCTAACTTTAATCGAATATCAGAAGTTCAGACAGGGTTCCCGGCAGATTGTGAAATCACACAATTACAAACTCCAACAAGCTCGATACGTTCTCTAACGCACCTATAAGTAACACTCTTAGACAATGGGGTTTATAGGTTAAGTTTAGAAAAAATCACTTGCCTAAATGGCACGCCAAAAATTGGCATACAACCTAAATGGATAAGTCAAAAACTTGACACATACGGCCAAAAATTGGCAAACCACAAATTGGTACGGACTAGAATTCATGCCCCGCAAAAAATGCATAACCGAATTGGTAAAATTGAATAAATTTCATAGACAAAGGCCTAAATGGCAAAAGCATGAAATGCTGTCGGCTACAACGAGCCTACATAGAAACTAAAAAATAAGTCAAAAAACTTGACAGATACGCCCAAAAATTGGCAAACCGCAATTGGTACGGACTAGAAGACGTGTCCCGCAAAATGCATAACCAAATTGGTAGAATTGAATAAATTTCATAGACAAGGGCCTGAATGGCAA